AACCATGCACTTCGTATGTGCTCAACTAACGTGTGAAGTTCAAAGGAGAAAAGAGTTTGAAGCTTTTCAAAGAGAAAGTTATATATACTGTATTACGTCGCAAAACTTATATGGTAGAGATGAGTCATCGATCTTATGAGATCTTGTAAGATCTTGTGACAAGAATTCATATGATCTTGTAAGATCTTATATAGTCTTGTGGCAAAAAATATATAAAAGTCAACAATGTCTGGTACAAGATTTTGTAAGATCTTACAAGATCATATGAATTCTTGTCATAAGGTCTTACAAGACCTTGTCACTTCTCATAACCAGATCTTGGGGATCTTATAACAAGAAGTTACAAGATTCCATAAGATCTTATATTATCTTAGAATAAGATCTTGTATGATCATATCGTAAGACCTTATTACAAGATTTCACAAGAAAACATCAGATCTTGCAAGGTCTTACAAGACGTGTTTCACCTGGGGTGTTTAATCATTCTGAATTTCACGAACCATGTAACTGCCTTAACAAACACCTATACTTAAATAAACTAGACTTTAAAATCGTAAAATCGACATTTTTTGAAAACAATGTGACTGATACAAGCGATACTACGACATCTTAATGAATATATGTGAGATCCGAAACTATAATCGACTGTACATCACTTCATCTCAATACTACAAGTGATCGTTCACCTTTTGAGATTCACTCAGATGAGCGAGAAAAAGTGACAAAAAACAAGGAAATGTATTATTTGGACTTCTAGGTTACAAAAATCTTATCAACTTAATAAAAGAATTTCAAATTTTTCAAAACAGTCTTACGCAAAATCTTTTTGACAGTCAACTTGGTCTGGAAAATCTAGTCTGCAATTAAACTTGACTATCAGACACTTGAATGATTCCATAAACGATAGTTGAATTACACTTATAATTTGTTCACGGATATAATTTTCGCGAATAGTAGCTAATTCTATCGGTGAAATACACAATAAAAATCTCAAGACTTTTTTGGAAGGAGACATCAGGAAGATTGTGATGGAGCAAAGCTACGTCGCAACATAGTTTACCTGTCGATTCATCGTGGTTAGCATAGTTGTCGTTATATCACATGCCAAATGTTCACAGCGTGCTGAGGTTGTCAAATCTTGGTAATATAATCGTGTGTTTACAATACCCAGTCTACACGGCCGGATGTCAGTCCATCTGATAGTCAGATGTATCACCAGGATGTGAATATGGTTGGTCCCCGTGACGACAACCTCAGGCTATTCCTGTGATTGTCTTATTGTAAAGCGCGAAAATACTGAAATTATTGTGCGCACTTGCACCCGTTCGCCATATAACCTACGTTACGTAAACAAGTATGTATCCATATTTTTAACAGTTTGTATTCAGAAATCTTAACGACAGCCCTAGTTGAACATCTTGGAACCAAGATCTTGACATCTTAGATGTTTTCGAAAAGATCTTGGCAAGATCTTTGATACCGGATGTCAAGATATTTTTGTTCCTAAGATCTTGCCCATGATCTTGCGTACAAAATCCTAAAAATTATCTTGTATCCAAGATCTTGACTGTAAAATGACTTGTACCCAAGATCATGGCNTTGACATCTTGTACCAAAGATCTTTGAGTAACCATTGGTTATCATTCACCGTCTTATTTTGGCGATGTCATCCTATATATGAACATTCTATTTTGTGTCTAATGTTACTATGTTTTAGTCGATAGCAGAGTCAAAATTCCATCAGGGAGGCATTAGGGATCGTTCGTCCTAGCGTATGAAATGTTCACCACTGAGCCGTAAATTTTTTTTGTTCCCAACACTTGTTGAAAAAATGCAAAGAAAAAAAGTTAGTTTCGAAATATGACGATTTTTCAAATGTTCAAGATCCTGGGTACAAGATATCAAGAAATATCTGTACCCAAGGTCTTGCGTAAGATCTTGGGTACAAATGTCCTGAGATCTTGTACCCATTTTTTCAAGATCTAGTGCCAAATCTTAACGTAAGATCTTGGGCAAGGTCTTGGTTTCAAGATGTTGGACTAGGGAGTACTATCAGTCAGCGATCAAATAAAATTCTAAAAACTCCCATATCGTGCCTTTTTTTAAAACCGTCGGCTAGTTCAAATACTGCCGTTTTTTTCCATTCACCGTGTTGTTTTGCAGCCGTAGAAGTATATAAGAAATATAGAAATTATTTTAGATTATCTTTTTCTTTCTTTTTTTTAAATTTACCCCAAATTAACCCCTCGTCGACGTGTGAACTTTGACTTTAGTAAATTTCCTTCCAGGAAGCCTTCTGGCCTTTGAGCGCTAGATAAATCGCCAAAAAGAAAATAAAGATTGAAAACAGTTTCGAACTCACGTCCTACGAATTCATAATGAGAAAAATAACCATGCGGTAGCTGCGGTTAAAAGAAGATACCGCACGGTAATCGTGCGGTTTGTTTTTCTGTTTACATAGCGGTAACCTCACGGTATACCGCTCGGTAATTGGGCGATAACCGATGGTATTTTGCCGGTATTGAGCACATGGGCTCTTAATTCTTAAGTTTTTATATCCTTCTTTCTCCAGAATACGAGTTTTTGTGAGCAACGGATTATAGATATTATATACAGTGTGATGTTGTGACTTGAAATTTTGAAATGGTTGTTCATCTTCAATAAACCAAATGGACTAATGACAAAAATGTGCAGGTGATCTATTGATCATTCAGCTAGCCTACTTCAAAATTAACTAATTTAATTCAACTTAGTAGTGCAAAAGGCTGTCTATCAATCTTTTCGAAAAATGATGTATTAATCACTAAGATAACAGTGAGCCATATACGGCCTTTGGAATAAATCATCATTATTAGTATTCAGTTGTGCCGATGCTGACCGATATTTTCATCTGTCGGTCAACTAGTTCATTCTTACCGTCACACCGATAAAAGTTCCTCATCTTATGAGTATTTGTTTATTTCACCGCAGCCGTGAAGTAAGCAGGACCTACATGTTCCATATCGCATTAGACATTTAATGACTGATGGCTCATCAGATAATTCCTTTATTCTATCAGTAGACATTTATTGATGATCTGCCACGTCACATTGACTCTTTTTTGTAGGTATAACTGCCGTACAAGAAAAAGTTTATATTTATGATGCTGAGAGACAAAGGATGAGGGAAACGCTTCACCAATCTGGTAGTCTATGTCCTGAGTTACTTCTTTTAAGAAAGTCTTTTCTTTTATTAGAACAATTAATAATTAATTATATATGATACAGTAAGTCTTTTCATGAAAAATACAAATTGTTTTTAATTGCTCTCTTAGCTGCCTCAGTTTTGTTCTATATTTTAACTCCGATTGATCTCTCACCTCCGAAGTGCTCTAACCTTCCCCTGTAGAGTTCCACATTATTGAAAATTGCAGCTATTTCATACTGTACTTTTTCTTTATTGGTAAAAAATTGATTTCTTGATTTTTTGTCTTTCTTTCGCTTTTCTTTTTTAGTTTTTTGTGTACTCTTCTGTTTTTGTTTTTCTTCTGTTCCGTTTATTTCTGAATGTATCATCACCTTGTAGTTACAATTGCTATGAGTGCAAATACTCGCCTGTTGTTTCTACAAAGTTTTTTATATATTACGCTTTTCAAATAAAGTTTATAACAAAAGTTTTCCCACAGGATAGTAGTGTTAATATTCGGTCTGCAGACAATAGATGTAAATTAATCAATGCAAAAATGAAACAATAATATACTTGCACTCCTCATCGTTCTGTTGGAACGTGAGACTGTTATCAAGTAACTGGTCGAAGTCTATTAAACTGATTAATTTTGCTGTTCCGACATCTATTTCATTTGATTGTGAATTAGTTTTTCACTAATCCGCTTCAAGTATTGATCATGACGCTATGCTTCATTAGTATGATAATTCTTACGGTGTTCCATCGTCAAACGTGAAAATTAGTGTGGTAAAATGTATATGTTCCAGTCGAGGAATCCGATGATCAGGTTTGCGAAATTCTGATCTTTTCCTCACTGGTTTCCTACACTTCCCTTTGAAAGTTGTGGGACATCTGAGTGTGCCGTTCTTGTCAAAGACGCTTTCTTAAACTGGCTGTAGTCATATCAGTCAGAATACACCACTTCAATCAAGCACGCGTTCAGTTTCAAGCCAAGTCGTTATAAGCATTCTTGCTTGTTTTGAGTAAGAATTAAACAGAGATATATATGCTCCTTAAGAAATATCATAACAAATAGTGTTATGAACACAAACGAATTTAGTGCTTACAATATATATTCCTCTATTTTCGCTTTTCATCAAGTAAAGCGCTTTATCAGCAGTATTAAACACATTACACATCAATAAGGAAACCAGCTACTATTCGAAACTATGACAGGTTTTATTTTATTTCAATTTCCTATAAAACACAAATGTACAATAAAATACTATTAAATTGTTGTTTAAAGATGCAATCGTTGCTATGCAAGCAAACACTTTTTTTTATACAACCCTCCCTTTCAGTCAAGGGAAAAATATTTACGTTAAATAATAAAGAAAGATAAGCTCAAGTAGTGGTTTCTTCTGTTAAACGGTTGATAATCTGTTCATATTGGGGAAATAATGGGAGTAAATATTGACGTTTAGCTATTTCGAAATCCGAAAAGTTAAATCCAGGTGCCACCGTACAACCGCAAAGAACGAAATGATTCTCATCATCATTTTTCAATAGTTCAGCCGCGAACCAGGTATTGTGTGGGACTACAAGTTGTAGTTGTGCACCAATATTAATATCTCGTCCAAGTAGTTTTTTCTCACACTTTCCATCGCTTTCATTTAGAATATAGATAATAATACAGGTTGTACCGTCATAATAATGCCACATTTCATCGGATTTGATCCGATGGAAACGGCTGTACGATGAATGTTTATCACCACCTGATTTAAGAAGGTAATAGATCGCTGTACAATAAACATATTCATTATTTTCAACATTATTAAAACGCTGTGGTACCGTTTGAACAATATCTTCAGAACGATATGTTTCTCGATAATAACCACCCTCAACATGGGGTTGAAGTTGCAGCAATCGTATCCATTCTTCAGCTTCACGAGACATTTATGTTGAACGTACTTTGTCAAAGAATCTAAAAGAAATAAACCCCTTACTTCCGTGGTTGGCAGAAACGAGGTATAATTCTTATTTATAGAAATCTTACGCCTAATAGCAAAGAAGGCAAGATCTTTATATTACCTTGTCTAACTATCGAAACAAAATATAATCGGTGGCTATTTTTTGAATAACTTCTGATAGGAATGAGATAGAGACTTTCGGTTTTTACCGTTCAAAAGGCGAGATGGAATATTTTCATAAACAAAAGTCTGTTCAAAAGGGTTCCTTAAAATAGGTTTTCCAAGAGCTAGTTGTGTCTCAATAGCATTAAACTGGTTTTTTTCATAGAATAGTCCAGAGTATATCCTTTAAAATGGAAGTTCAGCGAGATCTTGATTTTCAGTGGTTTGGGTATGATAGAGAATTTTATTAGAGTCCTAGAACTTGTACTCCGTACCCATTAGTAATCTCGGAAACGGGTGAATTATGGTTAATCAATCATGCTGAGTCTTGTGGCACTATTTGTTTTAGAAAAAGGTTTTAAAAACTAACGAAACTCACGTTTTTCGAAAATAAGGATTTTCCACGTGTTTTCACCTAATATTAAATAACTGAAAAAACATAAGAACGAGTTCAAAAGTTCATATCAGGGTATGGTTAATTTTATCCTCTTGACGCAATTACATAGAAAAAATTCAAAAACAGTATTTTTGTCCACAGGTTTTCTATCACGTTTCTCTGCTCCATCCTAGTCTCTCTCTCGTTAAAAGAAAATAGGCATCCAACAAAATTAGAGATATCTCTTCTCGCACATGCATGACGTATATCTTCAAGATATCCGTGTATATATCTATCAATAGAGACATAAGGAAAATGGAGATATCTCTATTGGCATGTGCGCTATATTCGACGACAAATGCGTCAGATGTCTTTATTTTATTCTTTCTACTCTCTTCCTTCTATAAGCGTCAAATGTGCGGCAATGTAAGCACAGAATATATCTTGTGCGAATAGAGATATCTCCATTTTCGTTATTAGATAGCTAATCTCTTTTCTCTTTTGTCGCGTGAAGAAAGAGGAAAAGTCAGTGCAGCGTTATTTTCATTCACCATTTTGTTCTTTCAACACTTTTTAAATTTCTTTTTTCTCCCTCGTTCTTTTACGTCACATATATCGCAATAGAGCCGTATCAAATGAGGACTCTATCTTTTCACATCTTGGCAAATGTTAGCACATGTCTATATGTTAGGAAATGTCTATAGACATGTGCTAACATTTGCCAAGGTATGAAAAGATAGAGATATTAGAGTAGAGTTTTCTCTTTTAGCGTATCTTCATCGTTTTCTTGATGTCGCATGTAGATATGTGTATGTCAGACATGAGGATACATATAGAAAAGAAAAGGTGATCTGTATGCGACATCAAGAAAAAGATAAAGAAGAAAACTTTAAAAGAGAAAAATAAAGTTTTCTCTTTTAGCGTATCCTGATCTTTTTCTTGATGTCGCATGCAGATCACCCTTTCTTTTTGTATGTCTCCTCATGTCTGACATACAGAGATCTGCATGCGACATCAAGAAAATGATGAAGATACGCTAAAAGAGACAATTCTATTTCTTATTTGATACGGCGCTAAGGCATATCTACTTCTTCTATCCGTCTCGCACGTACTGCGCATTTCTGTTGTGACAAACAACAAAACGAAAAATTCTCTGTCCATATGTCGGAAAAGAAAAGCAGACTAAGTCTAAGAGCAAGTAAAAGCAAGTTAAGGCATATAAAAGCATCTAAAGCAAGTTAGAGTTTCGTCACAAGGTGTGACGACTCTTCAGACGAACTTCTCTTTGTGACTCACACCAGAAATGCGCAGCATGTGCGAGATGGGTAGAAGAAGTAGATATGCCTTATTTAATACTGCTCTAATGTCACATACACGTATATCTTTTGCTAGAAGAGATATCTCCAATTTTGCTAGATGCCTAATATATACAGCTTTTCTGTTCTGCGCATGTAATCTCTGTCTCTGAAAACGCGTGCTTATATTCGTTCCATTCTGTCGATACTGTACTATATATCTCTCTTTATCACACGTGTCTCTACTCTATAACATGTACCCTGTCTTCTGACTCATCACAGAGTATTCAGGCTTTGGTTAGTACAGCGATGAGTGATCGCGTCTGAATCCCAAAGTTATAAGCTACATGGATTGACTAGTAGGAGTAGAACACACAATAACAGTGCACAGGAGAGGAACCGAACACCTCAAATTAACTTCTGGATAATATAGTCCAAAAATAAAATTGATGCCTTAAAATTCACAATTTTAGTCAGAGTTGGAACCGGACCCGTAAACCGGCACTTTAACGTCAACCGGCTGGTGTTACCGGTTGCAAATAAAGTTTAAACCGGTCCGGTTTAGTCTCATAAGTCACGTTCCATTTTAAAGGATATACTCTGGACTATTCTATGAAAAAAACCAGTTTAATGCTATTGAGACACAACTAGCTCTTGGAAAACCTATTTTAAGGAACCCTTTTGAACAGACTTTTGTTTATGAAAATATTCCATCTCGCCTTTTGAACGGTAAAAACCGAAAGTCTCTATCTCATTCCTATCAGAAGTTATTCAAAAAATAGCCACCGATTATATTTTGTTTCGATAGTTAGACAAGGTAATATAAAGAAAACCTTGTCTTCGTTGTTATTATTTCTATATATTGATATTATTGTCCTTGATTAAGATAGGAAAAACAAAAATGAATAAGCGTTTCAATAAGTATTTACTGTTCATTGCTGTTATTAAAATATTTTCGAAGCATTTTTATAATTTACCGTGGGAGTCTATATGTGGAAAAGTGTACAAGTTTATTGTCAGGAACTTTATGTATTTAAACAAGTTGGATCTTTATCCCACCGGGAGTTTATGCAAATTTAAAAAGAAATGGATATTTCAAATGATATTGACTGATGGATGACATAACAGTGTCCGTATTTGAGTCGACTTTTAATTCGTCACAAAAACTCACACTCACTTTTGATCTTGTGTTTTTAGTGTTGTTTGATCTCTTACAAACCAATTAGAGATGTGTTTGTGTGAGTGAGTAGTGACAGTCAACACAAATACGCGCTTAATTAAGAAAGAGGGAAGAAAAACAATTGTTATATGAATGTGGTTACAAAGTTGAATAAAATGTATGATAAATAGTTTGAGTAAAAATAAGTCGAGGATAAAGACTGAATTCATTAAGTAGGATAGCTCCTTTTAATAAGCGGCTTTTGTGAAGAACAAAGAGAAAAAAGATCAACTTAACTAACAATTTATGTAGATGTTTTGTTTGTACAAGGGAGAAACAATCAAAATAATCAAAAGGACTTGAATAAAATAATGCACAAAGGATTAGTTGATAGTGATAAGATGAGTGTAAGTACGTAGAGAACGAGAGGCGTCTATAATATCATCGAAGAAAATTACATAATAAGGAGATGATGAGAGAAGTTCAACCATGATTTTTTGAACTTGTTTTTCTTTTTTCTTACTTTTGTGTATAAAATTAAATAATAGAATTTTTAACTAGAACAATCTAACATACATTCACTTTGTAATGATAACGACGATGGTGATAGAGAAACGTTAAGTAATCGTATATCATGTATCGATCTTGATAATTAAATCCACTATCCATCCGTTTTTTGAATGTGGCCAATGGAAGCATGTTACAAGATCAAGTTCAAAGAACATGTACCATCACTTCTATTTTTGTAAAATAATCATTATTTGGCCCTTGATATTAATACAATTTATTATTGCATTTTACATAATACAAAATCAATCTAGTGTCACCTCAGCATTACCATCAGCAATCAATCAACAGGATAAAAAGTTAATTTTTGCACAAGTAAGTTTCTTTCGATAATTGTTGGTTGCTTAGTAAAGAGTTTATAGCATATCTGTTGTCTGCTCTGAAGCACAAATATAGCTTGAATAAGATGTGGTTTCTTTCGGGAAATATATCAGCATCCTACTTTATTTTACTTAACTATCTTGATATATTATTGAAGAATTATACAGTTGATAGAAAGAATGGTTGAATATTGAAAAAATTTCGGGACAAAATAGAAATAATTCCAAATTCTTGAAACGACGGACAGGGCTATTGTGAACAGTGGAAGGTCCTACGGGTGTTCCCCACCCAATAATTGAAAATTTTTGTTGTCTCCCAGTAGTAAAATCTTTTTTTTATGGAGTTCTAGTCCAAATTGTTTTCCTTCCCAGCAATTCTCACACAAAGCTGAACGGGTCGCTACTAGAAATGTGCAAACTGACTCGAAGATTAAGTGGATACGGGTCGGATTATTTAAATTTTATTCTAAAGAAACTGATACCACTAATTCTGTAAGAAGGCATAAATCAGATAAGGAAATCCATAACTGCTATAAAGATCATTGTTCGATAAAAAATCATTTCTTTGCTAAGCGAGCTTTCGATTACACATTTCAATCTACATTAAACAAATTATAGATGTATTGGATTGACATATTCATTGTTCTGTGAAGTATTTGTTTCATATGTTCAGATGATGCCGGCCGAAAAAATGTCGGTGTGAGATTATATAATTGACAATAGCGTAAATATTCAATATCATGTTTCTATTCTGAACAGATGAAACAAATATTTCCCAGAACAATAGAATTCTGGAGAATTAAATATAGTCAAAAAATTCCGACACTTGCACGTATGTGTTATTTATTGCGCTTTGGCGTTTTGAGTTTATGCTCGTGCATATCTCTGGTCGTGACTACTTTGCGAGTGGATATCGTCATCATTGTTAGAAATACTTAATACGCTTAAACCGTTTATCAGACCAAACAAAGTGATCTTTACGAAAAATCAACAAATAAACAGTAAAATTACAAAAATGATCACTTTGTTAATTAAAACCTTTTGGTTTATAAACAGAAAGAATTGGACGCTTAAAATTTCTGTATTCTTTATTTAATTTTTTGACTTCGTTAGTGGCGTAGCCAAGGGAGGGCCTAGGAGCCACAGGCCCTTCCCTTAGAAAGTTAACTTGTACTGGAAAGAATAGAATAAAATATCAGCTATCAGCGACATGTGTTTGTTTGGTCTTCTTTTACTCTAATCCTTCCTAAAAAAATGTTGGGTCCCTCCCTTAAAAAAATCCTGCCTACGCCACTGGACTTCGGCTGTCTAACAATTTAATCCTTTTACCGCCGGCTATTTATAAAATAGAAAATTTTAAAATACGGCAACATCCAGCTAAAAAAGGTTAAGTAAAATGGGGAATACGAGTTCTATGTTCTCGATTTAGTCTAAGTCTACCTAATTTTGCTTCTATAAATTCTGTTTTACATCGGCCAAGTTTGACTAGTATAGTTAAATCTATGCTTAGAACACGAACGTCGATGTCCCACGTACATTGAACATGCCATATAATGCTTAGTAGTTAGATTGAGAAAGTATTATCAAAAAAATCTAGATTTATATGAGTAATTAAGTTTACATATTCATTGTCATTTGTTAAATCACTCACCCCGTTTTTCAGAAATTTCTTCGACGTTTTGGATACGTGCGAAATATTGCAAAATTGAAATCCAGTTCGACAAACATTACGGAAGGTTTAAAAACTTTTCAACAATTCATCGGCATTAATGCATCTGGTATGTGTGTCAGTTTGATCTAATTTCTTTATATCGAAGAGATAATTAAATCTATCTAATTTAAGGCACTGTTGATGAATTGACATGGATAACAATGGTAGCACCCAGATGTGGAAACAAAGATATTCGCATTCAAAGGCGAAAACGTTTTACACTTCAAGGTAGAATAGACCGAGGAGAGTTGAACGCAATTAGTTAATATTAGATTAAACCCCATAAATATTAGATTAATTTCTTTTGAAATTTTTATAGTTTATTCATTAAATCTTCTTTTATTCAGGTAGTCGTTGGCCATCAAAAGGTCTTTCATTTCGAATTACAAAATATCCAACAACATTTCCAAGACAATTTGTTGAAATGGAATTGTCCAAAGCACTGAGGGTACGATATGTATCTCGAATATGTTTTGTTCATATTTAATTATGCTTTTCTATACTTCAGTTATGGAGTGATGCATCAAGTTTGCAGTTTGAACATAGAAAGAAGAAAGATAAATATAAAGATCGTGATACAGATATTCAAATATCATTTGAAATTGGTGATCATGGTGATACAGAACCATTCGATGGACCGGGAAATGTTTTAGGACACGCTTTTTTCCCACAAGTATGTAAGATGCTTAATAAATAAACAAGGATATAACATGCCATTAGCTTTCTGTTTAGTATGGCGGAGATGCTCATTTTGACAACGATGAATACTGGACTATGAAAAGTTCAGAAGGTATGTTTAATCATCTTTATTATTAAAAAAATAAAATTGTCTCATGCGCTAAATTTGTAGGTGTGAATTTGTTTCAAGTTGCTGCTCATGAATTTGGTCATTCTCTGGGACTCGAACATTCAAACGATCCCGAAGCAATCATGGCACCCTGTGAGTGTTGTAAAACCAATATTAAATTTTAAAATGTATACAGAGACTATTTCTTGTTTTAGTTTTTAAAGGATTTACTCCAAATTTTACACTACAAAAAGATGATATTCGCGCAATACGTGCTCTTTATGGTAGGAACTCGGTGATTTAGTTGATCTTCTACATACTACATTCTCTAGTGAACGTACCTGATTGCTTTAAGTGCTTATCAAGTAGTTGAAAATATTGGCAAGTATTTTCGAAACTTACCATGACATTTTAAAAGTACTTCTCCAAGATTGGAATACTTGGTTTTATTACTACGAATTGTTTTATGCTTACTTTACTTGTAGTTTGTCTATTGCAGGAGGTAAACCGGCGAGATCTGATCTTCAAGGAGGAGACAGCTATCATGAATATAAACAAACACAATATTCTATGGCACCGTCCATTTATTCATTGCCCAAAATTTGCTACGAATCAAAATTTGATGCAGTTATAACCATTGGTACTGATACATTCATCTTTAAAGGTAAGATAGAGATCACTTTTAAATAAACATTTTTTGAGATGAATATTTTTAGACAATATTGTCTATCGAAGAACAAAATTCGGTTTGGACTCTGATTATCCAAAAAATATTCGTGATCTATTCGGACGATGGGAGGGCGGTGTTTGGCAAAGTATTCCAAATAATCTAGATACAGCATTAACTTGGTCCAATGATCAAATTTATTTTTTCAAGGTATAAATAAAATTCTTCAACAAGTATATCATACTAAATATTTTTTCTCCAGGGTATATATTATTGGAAGACAATTCAATTCAAACTTCAACCAGGATATCCAAGAAGAATTAGTGAGGGTTTTGTTGGCCTCAATGAATCGAAACTTTTTAGAGGCAATCTAGATGCTGCTTTTGTCTACAGTGGTGATCAGAAAACATACTTTATTTCCGGTAAGAGAACTTAGGCGAAATTTAGTTTTTTGCTTAACACATTGTCTGAGTTGATATTGTTAGGTGCCTTGTTTTGGCGTTTAAATGAAAATCATGAATTTAAAGGTCAAATTGAGCATAATTATCCACAATTTGTTACCAACTGGCTTCGTATAACAAATAAAATTACAGGCGCTTTACAATGGATAAATGGAAAAACGTACTTTTTCTCCGCTAATGTTTATTATCGATACGATCATGTGAATCAAAAAGTGAGATCAATATTTTGCTTGTTATCATTATTCTTCCAATTTTGAGTAATCTTTGCTGTTCATATTTTTGTAGGTTGAAGATGTTAGCCCACCGTTTCCCCGACTGATATCTGATGGGTGGTTAAACTGTAACCAAACAAATTATAACCAACATGACGGCACGTTTGTTGATCTCCCTTATATTAACAATTTGTACATAAGATCACGGCGATACTTTGTTGAAAACGAACGAAATCGATGTATGAAAGGATATGTCAATTTATGCTTTCAATTTTTACCATTTTTACTTTTAATATCTGTGATATTTCACTAACTCTTAAAACAAAAATTACAGATTTTGAGAGTTTCTTCTGTTACACTACAGTGATAACAATAACGACTGAGTATCTGCTAAAATAAACTTCATTTACTCTGATTTATAACTGAAATTAAGTACTCATTTTGGTACTTCTGGTACAATACAAATAGTTGTTAATTTTAGTTAGGTCAAACATTTTGGACTTAAAGTATATTGCAGGGATCATCAACTGATTAGTGAATACTGACAATTTCGGATAAATCGTCCATTTTTTTAGGCTCATATGCTTCATCATATGCGCAGATTAAAATGTGAATAATCACAGTCTGTTTATCTATAGTAGATGATTTATGATAAATTATGTACCTAGGAGGCTCACTCAGCTGTAACACATTCATCATTTTCTTTTATCTGTATAAATAAGACTTAAATCTAATTTTTATTTGGTGATTTGATTAATCGTGCAAAAAATGTCATACAACGCCAACAACAGCATAAAAGAAGAAAAATGAGAAACGTATTTGTCATAACCGTGCGTGATATTATTATCTAACTTTATGCGATCTAATCACTTTGTCACAAAGTAACTGTCGAATCAATTGTTCTTGAAGAAACAACTAAACATAATCTAAAACTGTACTGGTTACAAAGCTCAATCTGAATAAAATTCAAAATTTGTTCCTAAAAATCAATAGTTAAGAATTCTAGTGTAGTGAATAGAATATATGAATGACTTTGATCCGCTGGAAAATAGTAGCAGTAGAATAATTTTACATAAAGCAACTATTTCTGAACAACACGATCAGCATTTTTCGGAATAGTTGGGTTCAGATTCATTTGAGATTTTAAACATCTCATTTGAATTACAAATGACGTGCACACGCTATATGTTTCGAATGGAGATGAACGCATTGTTGAAAACCTAAAGCATGCATGTTGTTTCGTAAAGCATTTAGGTTCAGTTCAGCATACCAAATTCGATATGTATTAAGAAACTCCAGTATTTTCTATAATGATATGGTTATAATTATAGTGAATCTACTTCAAAAGTAGTTCTCAACAACTTAAAAATTTCAGGAAAAGTATTCAGTCACTTTTCCCATCATCGTTTGATTTTTCTGTATCTACTGTTGGATTGCAAATAGATTGCAGCGGGAGGTTTTTCAAAATAATGTTTGGACGGGAAAGAAATACAAATCTGCGATTCCAAAAAATCGAAAGAGAAGATGCGAAGTCAGCTTTGCACATTAACAATGAGCATATTGTTAATTTTGTCCGCTAAACATGATTATGGAATTAAAAAATCTAAAAAGTTTCTGCTGGTTTAAAGTCTATTAAAAACTATAAAGAGAAACTATATTGTAAAATGTTTTCTATATTTGTTATCAATGAAAAATAGAATAGCTTAACTACTGTGACGCTTTTAGATTTTCATAATGTATTTTATATGAATTATTGCCTTATTTAACTTGAGTGAAAACAGAAAATTCCACATTATGCTGAAATCAAGCTGAAAACAGCTGAAAATCAAGGTATTATATGATTCATTTTGAAGAGCAGATTGTTGACCACTGTTTTTTGAATAAGTATTGAACGAAAAGAGCTGAAAACGTGCGATTTCCAGTTTCTGAAAGTAGACACCGGAAGACGTAAGTCTATGAGAGAATATGCCTATGTCTACCACCTTCAGGTGGTGTACTTCATCCATCCTTTAAAAGAAGGCTTAGAAGCCTGTCAAAGAAAAGCTATTGTTGAGAGCCCGTTAGTAGGTTCGAACCACTGGACTATTCTCTATCGATCTACGCAAGTCCCAGCTCGCTAGCTATCACCATTCAGTCGGGGAAGCAGTTTTGCTGGGATCTACCTAACTCTTTATTCTTAAATCGGAAAAACCTGAAAATAAATAGAAACATAGGTTATCGACCACGCTGAATCTCGTGGCAACGTTTCCTTTTCGTAAAAAGGTCGAAAACCTATACTACATAGCTAAGTAACCCATTTTTACCAATTTTCATGTAAAATTAGACATAACTCAATTAAAATCGATTGAAACTATGTCAGAAAATTAAGATGTACTCGACTTTATGTGCAATATATCATGGAGTTCAACAGAACTTTTAAAAATTAACATGTAATACTTTGGTGTTTGAAAAGGTTGTCTAGAAATCTTGTGAAGTAAATGAATATTTTTCACTACTCTTAGGTAGAAAACTATAGTGACAAGATAAAGTCGAGTACATTTTGATTTTCTGACATAGTTTGGATCGATTTTGATAGAGTTATGAATTTTCTAATTTTACATGAAAATTGGTAAAAATGGGTCACTTCACTATGCAGTATAGGTTTTCATTAGGTTTTTGACCTCTTTACGAAATCGAAACGTTGCCACGAGATTCAGTGTGGTTGATAACCTATATTTCCATTTATTTTCAAGTTTTTCCGATTTGAGAATAAAGAGTTAGTTAGGTCTCAGCCAGAGGTGCAACCGGTACTGGTACCGGTATATATTATAACGCCGACCGGTATACCGGCATTAGTATGAAGTATAATCAGTCGGTCGATATTGCTGATATTCGACAGTATTATACGATTTTTTGGAAAAACATCGTGTAAATTCAGTTCATCTGTGATATATTTCTTCCGCTAAATTGGATTGCTGTTTTGGTTAAAAAAGAGCGTCTGAAAAATCAGCTATAACGGGTGGCCCATAATAAACGGTCCAAAATCTTTTCTTATTTAATCTGATTCCAGTCTCATTTGATAGAGAATGGAATTCTGTACAAAATCCGCTATTTGAATCTGTGATAGCATTTTTCTCCTTTGAACACCATTCAAAAGATTGAATAGTGCTAAGTTCTCGAACTGTGACACACTGAAAATAGAAAAATATCTGCCTTGATCCAAAAACAGATTTCATAAGAATTTCGAAGCATCAGAAGATTCGCCGAAAAATTCTGTATCTTCTCACATATTTTTCGAAATCTTACAGTTAAGTCTTGTAGGGAAATTTCTCTTTACAAAAAACTGATAAATCTAAAAAAAACCTAACTTCTGAACCTATTTTTCACAGGCTTTAGTTTTTTGCCCTATAAAAACAGTAAAACGTTTTGAATCCAGGATTAGCCTTGTTATCTTACACAGAATTAAATTCTGCATCTTTTGATATATAAACAAAGTTTCTCAATTGAAACCATTAATTAAAACAATTAATTTAATTTGAAAAATTTGAAAAGCCGGCTGAGATATAGTTATGAGCCCAGCTGACGTAGCGGAAACATTGTATGAAGTTGTAAATGGGTGAGGCCGATAGAGCACAAAATTCTCTATCTTTCTACCTAGGAAAAGTAACTATTGAACCTCAAACAATGGGCTAAAAGTCTTAAAAAAGGATAGGACACAAGCACGTCGCACTTCGAGAACATACCACTATTCAATACATTGAATGGTGTTCAAAGGAGAAAAATGTTATCAGAGTTTCAAATAGCAGATTTTATAGAGAAGTCAATTCTCTATCAAATGAGACTAGAATCAGATTTTTAGGTCACTTGGAAGTGTTCCAAAAATAAGAAAAGATTTTGGACCGTTTATTATACACGCGTTACATATACATGGGAGGCCTGAATTTCGACCCACGACTTTTTTGTCCCGGACTTTCGGCCAAGGTCGAAAGTCTGAAACGAATTTCGGACCGAACCTTGATTTACCTAATTAATTTATAAATAATTAGTAAACTTCATGGTGCTCGTCAGTACGACATGATGCTCGGCAGGATGGCACAGTGCTCGGCAAGATGACATAGTGCTTAGCAGGGCAACATGATGTTTAGCAGTTTTCATTCAATTCTATTAGAAGTGAGGCAGAGCACGATACTCTATCAATATAATTTTATTCGATCGATGTCTCTCCACCAAAACCGCCACTTTATTATATATAATATTTTATTTTATTTATAATATTTTTTCGAACCTTCGATTCCGTTTAAGTTAACTAGTTTAGTTCAATTTTCTTTGGTTTCTTTCAGTAAAAATACTTCTCACTATGCATAGTGCTGGGTACTAGGCTGTCTAGCTAAGCACTATGTCGTACTGCCAAGCACCATGTCGTACTGCTAAGCACTAAATCATCTTGCCGAGCACCACGTTTTATTGAAAGTGCATAGTGTTGAGCATCATGAAGTTTACTAATTATTTATAAAATTAATTATGTAAATTAAGATTTGGTCCGAAATTCTTTTCATACTTTCGGTCCGGGCCGAAAGTCCGGGACAAAAAATTCGTGGGCCGAAATTCATATAACCCACATACATAATCAAAGTGAGAAGATTAATCTATCGCTTTGATAACAGTAGTAACTGATCAAAAGAAGAGTAATCGGTTTTTTCGCTGAATATTAACAGACTTCTTAACATGTATGACAAGGAAAAAGTATTTGTATTTAAGTAAAACATGATCAAGACAAGCCGGTACCGGTACGAAGTTTATATATTGCACCGTGTGTAGTGGTATTGTGGTTTTGAAATTTTGGTTTTATATTAAGTATGGCTATGGAGAGATGTTTAAGTTTTTTAGAAGCCTGTTTATGGTTCTTCTACTCTAGACCTGTGCAAGGCTTGATAATCTAGTGTATACGATCAGGACCGTAGTCAGCTCCATATAGGCAGTTTGAAAATAATTGTGCCATTTAATGAAAACCAACCTTGAGTACCAAAACGACCTGATCATTACTTAAAATGATTCTCGTACAAGTATTCAATAACTCAAAATAATGTCAATAATACTAGGAAGTCAATATCTTAAATTTATCAATATTCCGTTGTTGCTTGTGGTGAAAATGTGTTCTGATACAGCCATAGTTTTTGACACACTCACCGAAGCCAGTTAGAACAGTTTTACCCATCTGTCGCAAAACGTCAGACTGAGTGATCACTAATATTTCTGGATATTTGCATCAAAATAGAAACAATTTTTACGGAAATATACGAGTGAATAAATATCTCGTAAAAGTCGACGCTTAGAACTGAAAAGGTTGAGCAGAAGTTGATTTAGTGATTTGTTGTTGTATTCGAGTGGTAAATGTTCTATGTCGATGTATATTGTCAACATTGTTTGATTACTTAATAGTAGAAAAATCTCAATTCTTATTCTTACAAGTTCCGAAGGAGAAAACAGAAGATAAAACATTCCCAACACACTTCTAACAAAATATTTGACTCCACATCTTATAATACTTGGATTTGGATATCATAGCATATCTAAAAATGCAGACGATAATATAATATTTTTAATATAATTTTAGCAGTCAGGACTTTATTTTTTGACACTCATCGTAGACCTTCTCCGCGATTCAAATCATTTTTCCAAAATAATAACAAAAAAGTGGCAGCTAGCAAGGTTTTAGACTTGAAAAAACTATAGACAAAATAACAATACTCTTTGTGTTGCGTCCCTCAGTATAAACAATACTCTTTGTTGATTGTCTATTATCATATTTTTGCTATCAGCAGCTTAAAATAACTTCCTTTTCGATCAATCGGTTATCGAAACGTAGTGTTAAATTTCTGGCTAACGGAGGGACACCGAGAACAAAGAGAAAATTGAGTGTGCGTTGTTCGTAAAATCCATTTGTTAACACATTTTTTATTGCAACTTCAGCAATGCTTCGTTATTACTAACGCATTTTCATTTTCCTATTTTCTATCAGAAGATTCTATTCTTTCTTTAACAAAACCAATCGTTTGATTTGCTACTGATTTTTTGTATATTTAGAAAAATCTTTCTCTTGTTTTTTTTTGCCTGCGGAAATAATGTCATCAACTGTGGTTTAATAAAGGAAAGAGAGAGGTTTGGTCATGCATGAGGGAACGAACGACTGGTTCGTCCTGTAAGTTGAAGGATTCTCGATGGTTCCCTTTCTTTTCGGACCGTACACGCAGATGGCAAGACGATTTTTTCCTCCGGACGATGACTAGATATAGGCCAAGGTGAGCTCTCTGGTTTGCATTAATAGAAAGAAAAAAAAAATTATCTCTCGTTAAGTGCTGTGGTTGAGGTAAAAAAATGTTTAAGGTGGAGCAACAGTGATCGATTACTTAGGATGAAAACCGATAAATGTTAGCTATATTTTTTCTCCTATTATGTTTATATTTTTCTCTTTCTCTCTCTTTCTCTCTCTCTCTCCCTTTCTCTCTCTCTAAAGAATAATCTTTGTTATCCCATTTCATATATAAACGATGTATTTTCATAGTCTATTCGCTCTGAGTAATTGAGAAAGCACGACGACAAAGACGCACCAGCTAGCCTAGCATTATTAACATTTTTATCATTAGCAAGCAAAATTAAACAATGGTTGCCATCGACAAAATTGGTTATAATTATCCATCAATTTATTTAAATGATTTAATTAATCAGACATTAGCTCAGAAACCACATCTTGATCAAAATGTTTCACATGAACAAGCAGCAATGTCTCATATGAATAAACAATCATCAGCAGATTACTCAAGCAAAATTTCGCCACAACAATTTGGACTGGATCCAAATAATCCGTCTTTACAATTTGCAACAAAAGGTGGCGGTTTTGTTCAAGTATTTGGTCCATTAAAAACACCTGGCAACGATAAATTTTTTCAAGATCCAAATCCAGTGGTTATTCGCCAAAAAACAAAACCCGTTACATATGTGCAAAAAGTTTCGTTGGCTTATTATAAACCACCCCCACCACCTGCACCAGGTCCAGTCATAATTAAAGAAGTATGTATACTACTAGTTAACACTATTAGAACTTTAAAATGTTATATTGATATTTAGGTGCGTCCACCACAACAACCAGCTCCACCACCGCTCTTCGTGCGAATTCAACCGCCACCACCACCACAACAACCACCACTTGTCATCAGAGAAAATCCACCTCCTCGTCCAAAACATGTTCCAGTAAGTAATAACTTGATCATAATAACTTCAAATTCTATTCGAAAAGATTCCTTAAAATAGAGTTTACATAATAAAATACGGGAAGATATTGGAGTTTATAAACTTTCATAGGTCTTTCGACTTTAGCCTCAGTTAAAATACGACTGTAGTAGTATTCTCAATTAAATACGACTTACTCTTCTTCTTGAATGATATTAGATTAATATAAGAACATTTTGTTTATTAAATTAGAAGACTGAACTTAAATGTACTTGATGATTTTTTTAGACCACTGTTGTGACGAAAATGTTACCAAATATGCCTGCACCACCACCACGAGTCATTGTTCGTAATGCACCCAACAGAGAAACGGCTGCAAAAATCGCGTCCGCTTATACTAATGGTTTAAGCTCAAATTAAATCATTTTTGTTTGTTAGAATGGATATTGTAGTCTAATTCTTTTTAGTTTTCGACAAATTTTGTGTGTGTGTGTAGATTCTCTCTATTTTTATATAACTATTATACGGTGGTTTGTGCGAGTATGCAACTCTCTATCTCTCTTTCTCCCTCCTCATCTTTTCATTTACGTCATATTTCTTCTTTCTTTTTGAATTTATCATAATTTGGTTCTCTTTAACAAAAACAAAATATCTGGTACCATTGAACATCAGCTAGCTAACTTCAAGCAAAATAATCAGTAAATTTGAATTAAACCTGGGAATTTCAAAGCTGATTATCCGTTTGAAGAATAACAACAACTGCGTCTATTCGTCGTACAACAATAACAGTAATATCAATTGTAAGCTGAACAAACAAAATTAAAGAAAAGACATTTATCGTAGAAAATATTCGAATATGTGATGTTCGATCGTTTTATAGTTTGTCTATTTTTTTCTTGTTTTGTTCAACAAAGATGCATTATTCGAAGAAAAAAAAATGAAATTTACATGTTGAACACTATACCTTCTGTTTGATGGGCAAACACTAGAAATCAAAAAGGAGTTTGATCAAGGTCTTTCTAGAAGAATTATTTTCTCAAGACATACAAGAAAAGAACTGCCAACTCTTGTAATTTATCTAAAACTGCTTATTTCGTTAGAGAATATTGTATTTTATTTATCTGGCTGCTTGTGCGATAAACAAAATATTCTAAAACGTTTATGTGGTAAATCTAAATCAATATCGCAAGAAACACATAACTGCAGACGAGAAAAGCAACAACAATCGTTTCGGTCTGTTGCGTTTTCTTTTTGATGTGATCAGAATCAGTTTAATCTACGGATGAATAGTTTCTAATTACTTATTTGGTTAACGATCTTAATGTATCCAGTTAAGTAGAAAGAAAGATTTAAAAGAAAGACAACTTTGTACATGAACCAAGATTCCATATTTAAATAATAATTTGTAACTAAAAGAAAACACAATAAAACAAATGGAAATGAGCATTTTTTACTGTGAAAAGACAAAAATTCCTAATTTCTGATATAAAACACTGCAAAAATCGAGAACAGGCTACTTCAGATCCTTCAGGCCATGAGTGTCTCCTTTCAGAATTTCCACTTTTAAAGAGTAACTTGGGGTAATTCCGATCAGTGGTTTAAATTTTTGTAGTATTTTTGATAGCATAAAGCTATTCTAGAACGGAAAAAAACTGCTATTGCATAGATAGATAGATGCGAGTCTCAGCTATCTATTCATTTAAAAATTTCCCAAAAATTCATTATG